ATTGAGGTGGATGATTCTCATTTCTTCCATGGTTGGATTCTTGGGATCATCCGGTGACTCAAATCCATTGTAAACAACCTTCCAAATGCCAGGATGAAGACCTATAAGATAAGCTCTCATCAAGTGCTTCCACTTGGCAAAGTTAGTCCCATTGAAATGAGGTAACTTGCCCATGGGCACATTGATGAAAGACTTGCGATCATGGTTAGTCATAGACATAGAAGAATAGTTAAAGGATACGGCGGCATATTTGTTGTCGTCATTCTTCTTGCCCTTTCCTTTCTTGTCCTTCTTGCTATGCACTTGGTAGGACTCATCATCATCACTCAAATCCATTGCAAACAACCTTCCAAATGCCAGGATGAAGACCTATAAGATAAGCTCTCATCAAGTGCTTCCACTTGGCAAAGTTAGTCCCATCAAAATGAGGTAACTTGCCCGTGGGCACATTGATGAAAGACTTACGATCATGGTTAGTCATAGACATAGAAGAATAGTTAAAAGATACGGCGGCATATTTGTTGTCGTCATTCTTCTTGCCCTTTCCTTTCTTGTCCTTCTTGCTATGCACTTGGTAGGACTCATCATCATCACCATCTTTGGAACTGCTAGATAGCTCACTTGAAGATGCATTGGAGGCTTTTGCTTCTTGTTCCTTCTTCTTTCTTGATTCTCTTCTTTTTCTTCTAGCTTCTCTCTTGAGTCTTCTTTCTTCTTTTCTTGCTTTCTTCTCTTGTAACCGTTGCTGCTCCTTCTTCTTCTCTCTTGCTTCTCTTTTCTCTTTTCTAGCTACCCTTCTTCTTCTTCTTTCTTCTTCATTTTGAGCTTTTTCAGCATCGGTTACCTATAGCTACGGAAGCGTGGAGTTGCTCGCTGTAGAGGCGCTAAGCTCACTGCTATCGGTGTCATGCAGCCCAACATCCTTCGGATCGACGTTGATGGGCTTCACAACACCGGATCCTCCCCTGGGCTCCATACCTCAAGCGGTGAAGCGCACACGAGGTAACCTAGCTCTGATACCACCTGTAGGATCTCTGGTACGCCTAGAGGGGGAGGTGAATAGGCCTGTAAAAATTCAATTCAAACCGAAGTCAAATTCACCCATGGCATTGCCGCTCTGTGAGCGCGGCACTACCGCACCTGCAGGAGAGATTAGTTCACAGTTCAAAATCTTCCCAACGAAATTTAGATCGGATAAATTTTTTAGCTTCCTGCAGGGTAGTAGATCACAGATCGATAGCTGAAAGTGGTGGGAACACCACACATAAGTAGATTGGCCTCAATCCTAGAAATCACCTCAACAACAACAAGAATACAAGTGTAGCAACACAAGCACAAGATGACACAAGGATTTATCTCGTAGTTCAGCTCACCACCAAGGCTTGCCTAAGTCCACGTTGTTGAGGTATACCACTAAGGTGTTAGGGATATGCAACCCTACCTTGTTCTCAAGTCAAGAGAGTGAACTCTTGAGATGAGGGCTGATTTTACTTGCTGCAAGAGGTGGTTACAAACCTCTCGAGGCTGCCACACAAGTTGGCAAGCTCCACGGGCGACGCTCTAGCTGGCTAGGAGCCAAGCTCCAAGAGTAACAAACACAACTGCCGGCTAAAACATGAACCAAGTGCTCTTTAGAATTTGGGAATCAATGGAGTTGCTCTCTAATCAAGTTTTGGACCTTTTTCCCTCAAGGATTGATGGAAAAATCAATGAATTTACTTGGGGGCTTTAGGTCAACAATGGAGTGAGAGAGAGAGAGAGCTCCTGCTCTATTTTGGGCGTGCTAGAGTGAGGAAGAAGAGAGCATGTTGATTGTCGTTGGAAAGGAAGGGGAAAGGTATATATACCCCTAACCCCCAACGGTCACTTTAAATCGCAGATAGCCATTGGCGAGAAAAAGGGAAAGGTATATATACCTCCTAGCCCCCAATGGTCACAGCACCCAAGGGATCAGGCGAGACAGAGCCCACGGCCTTGAGGTCGGGCGAGGCGCCCGTGACAAAGGGGTCGGGCGAGATGGAGCCCACAACCAAGGGGTCGGGCGAGCCAGAGCCCACGACCAAGGGGTTGGGCGAACCAGAGCCCACGATCAAGGGGTCAGGCGAGCAGAATCCCATGACCTTGGGGTCGGATGAGACGGAGCCCTTGACCTTAGGGTCGGGCGAGTCGAAGCTCGCAACCAAGGGGTCGGGCGAGTCTGAGCTCGCACCCCGCAAGACAGCAAGGGTAATAGTGAAGTGTAGACTGTCTTGGCTGTGAATCTAAGGATGCTTGTGGTTGTTGGAGCACTTAGTAGCACATATTAGCTTAAACATTGTGTCCCCTTTTATAGTACGGCTTTTTCTATACTCAAATTCAAGATATAAAAGAATCTTAAACCTCTTTTGAGTTTAAAGCCATCTATATTTGTAATTGGGGGCTCCTCCATTTCGTGTAGCATCCTTGAATATAAATTTCCTGCTTGTCATCTCGATAAATCTCAATAGTTCTCTAATTGCGTGGTCTTTATCACCAAAACCCACAATTAGGGCTTGATTGCACTTTCAACTGGGCTGGCATCATGTAGCCGTTGGCCACTGACCAGACACGTGCGGTCACTTTGACCTAAGCGTCCGGTCACCCTGAAATATGCTGAGTTGGACCCCAACGAGTATGTTTTGAAGTGAGGAGTATAAATACCTCTCCTACTCGTCGAACTTAGCTCTCTTGCCCATATGTTCAGCTAAGAAACACCTTTGAAGTGTAAGGGAAAGTAAAAGCCTAGTGAGGTGATTGAGATTTGATAATCCAAGATTAAGGACCTCATTAGTGCATAGGGAGTAGCAAGTGTGTATCCACCCTTCTCATTAGGCTTGTCTTGGTCAAGTGAGAGCTTGTGCTTGTTACTCTTGGTGATCGTCATCACCTAGACGACTTGGTGATGATTAGGAACTTGGTGATCATCCGACGGAGCTTGTGGATGGGCCAAGTCATGGTGTTAGCGGTTGTGGGCGATTCACCGCGACGAAGTGTCAAAGAATCAGCCCGTAGAGAGCACTTGATCCTTGCGCGGATCAAGGGGGGAGCTACACCCTTGCGCGGGTGCTCCAACGAGGACTAGTGGAGAGTGGCGACTCTCTGATACCTCAGAAAAACATTGATGCGTTCCTCTTCCTCTCTTTACTTTGAGCATTTACATTTGAGCAATTCAATTCATGTCTCTATATTCCTAGAATTACCATGCTAGAGTATGATTGGAACCTAGGGTGCAAAACTCTTGTGCGATAGAACAATAAAAACACTTCTAGGCACAATGGGTGAAATAGGCTAAGTGTAGGGCTTAATTATTGCAAGAAATTTAGAATTAGCCCAATTCAACCCCCTCTTGGGCATCTTGATTCTTTCACACAGTGACCTCGGCGGCAAAGTATCTGTCGGAAACGAGATGTGCGAAGGTAACGGCAAAGCATCCGTTAGGAAAGTCGAAACGACGACGAAGCAATCACCAAGAGATGCAGTGGCAAAGTATCCGCTCAGCGATAACCATCGATACCCGTGGCAAAGCATCCGTTGGAAAGGGAGTGTGCCGGTGGCAAAGTATCCGCCGGGGAAGCGACAAACAAAGGGGCAAAGCATCCAGCCGAAGAAGCGACCATCGCATAGAACAAACACGTGTTGAAGGTATGAAGTGCGCGGATGGATCACAGGCACAACGATAATCTCCATGGCTCGACGAAGACGCTGCAGGACCACAAGCGGCGACACAACACGTAGCACCGAGGGAGAGGGGGAGGCAACCCAGTGCGCGCCATGGCCAGGAAACTTCAAAGGCAACGCCTCCAAGGAGCAGCACGACGTAGACAGCGCCGCCGCTACCTGCCCAACAGGGACAAGGTTTTCACCCAGAAGATCCATGAAAGGTTTTGGAGCGTCGTTACCCTCCTTGGAGGCATTTGTTGTCGGTAATAATACTTCTAAAGAACTGGTTGTCTTCACCGTTTATTTATTGTTATGATTGGTTGTCTTCATCATTTATTTATTTTTGTACACAAAATTCAAACTCACCCTAATTTTCCCTCTAGCAAAGTTATTTTTTTTTTGTATACAAGGATAACGTGCAAGCAAAGAAGAAATTTCATTATAGGCTGACCTGAAAGTCCCTCAAGTGTTGTCAGGTGTGTGGCACTGACACAATTGCACAAATGCATGTTACTAGTGCGGTAAAGCTATCTCGCGCTCGAGTGTTTCTCTCCCTCTCAACACTTCATTCCTCTTTCTTTCATTCTTCATCTCTGGCCTCTCTTCCTCTTCTTCCCCAACTCCACGGGCTTAGAAGGGGTTCGGGGAAGATAGGCCAGCCTAGGCGGTGGGGACAGTGGGAGGGCGGCGTTAGGGTTCGGCGACGAAGGAGGTGTTTGGGCCAGGTCGGGCGAGGGCTCCCATGGCCATGGGAGCGGCAGGAAGGGGGAAAGGGAAGAAGGAGGCCGCAGTAGACGCGATAGGATTTCCCGGAGCTCCGCCGTGGTAGGACGGTGGACACTAGGCGATGGCGGTGCGTGGGAAGGAGGAAGAAGACGGTGAGGAAAAAAAGTTAAATGTTCCAACACCCGAGCGCGGGATAGACAGATTCTGCTAATGATATCCCCATTTTCTGCCTCCAACCGGTTCCAAAACTACACTAATTTTTGTCGTTGTTGGTTTGTGTGCCGATAGTTTGACTAGATTTATAGAAAATATTAATAACATTTGTGTCTCCAAATAAATTTATTATAAAAATAAATTCAGTGATCAATCTAATGATATTAATCATGTACCGTATATATTAATATTTTTATGTAAATCTAGTTAAAGTTTTTTTTTTTTAATCGAGAACAACAGTTAATAAGCGACGGAGGAAGTAATACGTGACATAAATAAAAGCAACAAGAGTAACCCCACCGGCCCAACCTGACCCCTGCAGCAGTGCAGCCTCTCGGGGTCCGGTCCACCGTCCAGGCCACCACTCGAGTTCCCCCGCCGTGATGTCCCATCACCGGGCGAAGCGGTCGTCCGACAGCGCACGCGCCCCGTCCGCGCCGGCGTTCCCCACGAACAAGGAAGCCCCCGACCTGCCCTCCAAGACCCGCATCTTCTGCGATATCCTGGCCTCCCGCGCCGACGACGACGTGGACGCCGCGCTCGACAAGGCCGACATCCGCGGCGTAACCACCGCTGACGTCGAGCAGGTGCTCCGCTTATCCTACGCGCACCCGTGCGCCGCCACCGCCTTCTTTCACTGGGCGGGGAACCGGCACCTCGGCCACGAGCACCACTCCCCCTACTCGTGGAACCTCGTCGTCGACATCCTCGGTACAAACTGCCTCTTCGCGCGCATGTGGGACACCGTCGAATCCATGCACTCGCGGCGGCTGCTCTCGCTCGATACTTTCGCCTCCGTATTCTCCTCCCTGGCGGCGAGCCCCGGCTGTTCCTCGCTCGAGGCGTTCATGGACATGCCGCGCTACGGCATGACCCAAGACACGCAGGCGCTCAACTCGCTCCTCTCCGCGCTCTGTCGTGCCGACCGCCTCTACGACGCCCGCGCCGAGGCCGGCACGCGCCCGGATGCCGACTCCTACGCCATCCTCCTCGAGGGCTGCGAGGCTGCCGCCGACCGGCGGGCTGCGCGCGATGTGTTCGACGAAATGGTGCGCGACATCGGTTTTGATCCTGACAACGTGCCTGCCTATGACGCCTTCCTCACTACGCTTGTTTCAAGCGACTCCTCCACGGCGCTACCGGAAGCAATGTACTATCTAGATTTCTTAAACAGGCACGGCTGTTCGCCGGGAGCAGGAGAGAGGTTCTTCCATGCTGCTCTCGGCGCACACCTTGAGGCAGGAGAATTGCACGGTGCTACTTGTCTCTGGGCTAGGTTTGTTGGGCGTGGAGGACTCGTGCCAGACGTGGAAATGTACAACACAATGATCATGCTGCAGGGCACTCTTGGGCATGCTGAGGTGATAGTGGATTATCTCGACGACATGATCTTCAATGGAGTGTTCCCTGGTACCTACACATACAATGTGGTCCTCCAGCTTTTGCTGGAAGGAAGGGAGCTCCATAAGGCAGCGGCAATATTTAGCGAGATGGTTAAGAACGAATGTTGGCCAAACGAGGGAAATTCAGCCTGTTCGCTTGCTCGTATCTGGCTTATAAGCCATGGCTTATCAGCCAACAAACAGTATTTTTCTCTCACACTAAACCAGCCAACAATAATTTCAGCCATGGCTTATAAGCCAATCCAGCCCAAATGAACAGGCCGATTGTTCACTCGCACTTCACTTGTTTTTGGATGCACGCTATTGGGAGACTGGGATCAAAGTCTGGAGCTGCGTGGTGGAGAATGGCTTGCCACCTTTAGAGGAGTGTGGGAACATGCTTGTGTCAAAGCTGAAGGATGTCAGGCTACCTGAGGCATGCAAGTATGCAGAAGACATGGTTGATCGGGGTATCAAGTTGAGTTTATCGACACTGTCCAAGCTGAAGCGGTGCCTGCAGAAGATTAAGAAAGGAGACATCTATGATCACCTACTTAGAAAATGGAAGGCACATTAGTTTGTTGAGCTCTCTTGTATGGTTAACCTGATTAAAGACAGGTAGGATCTCTTAGTGTTGACACTGATGTTGAACCTTTTATCACTTTGGAACGTTTCAAACAACAGTTGGAGGCCTCAACTCCATTATCATGATTCGAGCATGGCACCAATCTGGAATCTCCGCAATCGATGCATGTTTGATGGGATCTCGTCTAGTTCGAATGGAGTTTTAGAGTTCATCGGGAAGGAGCTATATTTCTAGTGTTTAGCCATGGCTCGAGGGGTTTCACATCTCCTCACCCTTAGGTCCAGCGTTAGTTTGCTGGCCGAGGTTGTTTGTGCTTGTAGTCTTTGGCGAGTTCCTTTTCCTTTTCTTTTTGTGTGTGTGATATGTCTGTGTCGTGGGGTTGCATGATGTTGTTGGGTTCTATCCCCTTTTCTTCTTAATATATTGATACACAGATCTCCTGTGTATCAGAGGACTAACCCTCAAGATTTGAGTGTTTCTTTGTCTCCATATCTCCCATGCTATAATAATAGACTTCCAAAAAGAATTGATGCGGCACTCTGGATTGTATCAAAGAAGATGGCATGATCCCAATAAATCTCAATAAAGTTCTAGCATCTCGTGCTAAAGAGGTCCATGTTTATGTTAGCTTGAGACCTCTCAGATGATTCCACCTCTCTAAAAAAACAGAATTAAATTGAAGACAAAAACAATTTGATATCTGTTCATTATTCATAATAGATAGACACAAGCTATGTCTCCTAGCTTATCTAAAAACCTGTCGACAAATTAAGTGATATCTATGACAGGTTCTAGACCTCCTAAAAGAACAACATTTGATTGGGCAAAAAATAGAAATACACATTTGTTCTCAAGATCTCAGAAAATAGAAATACACATTTAGCAGTATTAATACGCCTTGCAAAGAAGATATAGTGAAAGGTAGAGAAGATATAGAGAAAAGAGGAGTAACAGAACCTGTAAAAAAGGCCACTCCACAGAGGGCGCGGCAAAGCCGAACTGGTTTTCTAGTTCATTCCATGTCAACCTCCACGGCAACTTGAGTTGAGGCCCTGCAGTTTCAGTGTTGGTTTTGTACATAGCATGGGCACCAATACTCCTTGCTTCGCAATATCAGCAATGCCACACTGAAATTACTCTGTTGGCTTTCAGGGGTTTTTTTTTCCTAAGGTTGACACCTGAATATACGGAAATTCTTTGGTGAGGACGTCCGTCTAGGCATATTTGTCCGGACTCCCATGTTCTCCGGCCTGTGCAGTTATATGACCCAACAAGCCTGCTCCGCTCCATCTTAAGTGTTTCATGGTTTCTAAAAAAAAGACAACTATATTTTCCTTTCCCCACTGCCGCTCGCCCGCCGCACGCATGCGACCACCGCCCCCATCCACCTCGCGCCTTCTCCAGCCCGGTGGCCTTCTCTAGCTCATCTTCTCCAGCCCGACGGCCTTCTCCAATGCGGGTGCGCCGCACCCGGCCCCCGTCCTACGCTCCTCCGCGCCCCCTTCCACCTCGCGCTGCTGCGGCCATGGCATGCACCGTGTTCGGCCAAATATATCGCGGCGGGAAGGGGAGGCCTGCGCATGCGCCTGGGTATACGTTGGTCAGCTCTTGACGTCCCCCAGACGGGTCCCCCAGACTCGAGCTTGCTACCGCAGTTCCCCACCAGGTAGGTCCTCGTCGCCGGCGACGCTGTGTTTTAAGTGTTTCAGACGTTTCAGACTTATGTTTCAAGTGTTTCATCTGGATGTTGCAAAAGTAGATCTACGATGATGCATATGTTGCAATGACAATATACGCATGTTGCAAGCCTATGTTTCAAGTGTTTCAGGTGTTTCAGGCGTATGTTTCATGGCTCTACCCACATGTTTCAAGCGTATATTTCAAGTGTTTCGTATGTTTCATACTTATGTCGTAAGTATTTCATCTGGATGTTGCAAAAGTAGATTTGGATGTTGCATTTGTTATTATGTCTATACACGCATGTTTCAAACAAATGTTTCAAGTGTTTCATCTGTTTTCATACGTATGTTGCAAATGTTTCATTTGCATGTTTCAAAAGTAGATCGAGTATTGCACAACGCCGATGGCTAGCGACAGCGGCCTGTCGCAGCCGCCTGTCGTTGCTGCTGGGGCGCAGTCGTGGGTCAACCCATGTGGATTTGCCCCGTGCGGGCGCGGGGTGGGCGCGGGGACGCGGTTCCTACGATGGACGTGGACGCTGGTGCTAGGCAGGATGTGGACGCGAGGCGTTGGGCAGGATGCGAATGCAGGTTTCCCCGTGCTAGGCGGGATGCGGGACGCAGGTGTGGGAGCCACGTCCGATCGCGACATCCTGTCCGGACGTCCGGGCGCTACATGAATATATGATAGATAAATCATTGATAGAGGACCGAAACTTCATGATACACACCCATCCTACACCTGCCTTCGCATGTTTGGATGCGCCTATTACCCAAACCTGTCATCCACAGCTCCACAAAAGCTATCACCTCGCTCATCCTTGTGCATCTTTCTTGGCTATTCCACCAATCACAAAAGGGTATTGGTGTCTCGACCTTCATTCCAATAGGATCTTTGTCTCTCGACATGTTGTGTTTGATGAGTCATTTTCCCCTTTTTCGATATGTCCACCTCTCCCTTGCTTCCCGCCACCTTGGATTTTTTGAGCGCTAATGACTGTTCCACTTTGCCCATTGGGCCTAGTGCTATGCATGCAGGTACACTTCCTCCCCGACGATGCTCCCGCTGCGCCCGCACCAGTAGCCTCACCGACTTGGCTGTTAGGTGCCCCCGAGCTGCTGCCTTCTACCGGCGGGTCGTCCCTACTGCCCCCATCACCATAGTCGAGTGTCGCTGCCCCTATGGACACCACATCCTAGGTTGTTGTCGGTGGTGCCTCTAGGCTCTCTACCGGCTCTCCCGCATTGTTGCCCCTGCGGACACCTTTGTGGTAGGCTATTGCCAGCGGTGCCAGGCATGCCCCCTGGGTACACTGCTACCACGGCTCCGCATGTCGTCGCTCCTATCTCCAATGCACAAGACATGCGCACCCATGCCAAGTTCGCTTCATTCAACTGGTGGATCGCTACAACCTCAACATGGTGGTCCTCTCCCCGCTACTAACGTTGTTTCGGTCTGCTCTAGTTGATCCGAACTGGCGTGCTGCCATCCAGTCCGAGTTTGATGCCCTCTTGGCGAACGACACTTGGACCATGGTGCCTCACCCTTCTAGAGTCAATGTTGTCACTGGCAAATGGATCTATCGTCACAAGTTCCTGTCAGATGGTTGTCTTGACTGCTACAAAGCTCGATGGGTCTTACGCGGTTTCACTCAACGTCTAGGGATTAACTATGATGAGACTTTCAGTCCAGTTGTGAAGCCCGCCACCATTCTTGTTGTCCTTAGTTTGGCTCTCTTAGTCCAGGCCCATTTATCAGCTCGACGTCAAGAATGCATTCCTGCATGGCACTCTGACCGAGATAGTGTACTGCGTTCAGCCGTCTGGTTTTGTTGACTCCTCAAAGCCTGATGATCATGTTTGACACCCACGCCGCTCACTCTATGGATTGAAGTAGGCCTCTCACGCTTGGCATAGTCGCTTTGGATTTGTTGAAGCTAAGTCTGACATTTCTCTATCCATTTAACACTAGGGCGCTGATGTGGCTTTCTTACTTCTCTATGTTGATGATATTGTTCTCATGGCTTCATCACAAAGTTTTCTTCAACATATTATTTCAGCTCTTTGATAGGAATTCTCTATGACAGATATAGGTCCTCTTCATCACTTCTTGGGTATTACTGAACGTCGTGATGATGGTTTGTTTCTCTCACAATGACAGTATTTGCTAGATATCCTGGACCATGCTGGTATGCGCAATTGCAAACCTTGCAGTACCCCTATGGACACTCACTCCAAAATGTCTACTGTTGATGTTACGTCGGTGTCTGATCCTACTCACTACCGCAACATTGTTGGTGCTTTGCAGTATCTCACCTTTACTCATGTGGATACGCTTATGATGTCCAACAAGTCAGTTTGCATATGCATGATCTGAGAGACCCTCATCTCGCTGCTATGAAAAAGATTCTACGGTATTTATAGGGCACTTTGGATCTCGGCCTCCTCCTTTACTAGACTTCGCCGACCTCATAATTTACTCTAATGTTGATTGGGTTGGTTGTCCTGACACTCGAAAGTCCACCTCCGGTTATGCTGTCTTCCTTGGGGACAATCTCATTTCCTGGTCCTCCAAGCGCTAGCCGACAGTGTCGGTCGAGTGCTTAAGTCGAGTATCATATCATGCTTGGTTGCGCCAGCTTCTCATGGAACTCCACTGCCTTGTCCATCATGCAACCATTGTTTATTGTGATAACATCAGTGATGTTTACCTCTCCACCAACCTCGTCCAGCACTAGCGCACCAAGCATGTAGAGATTGACTTACACTTCGTCCGTGAATGCGTCGTTCTTGGTGAAGTTCATGCCCTGCATGTTCCTACTTCGTTCCAGTACGCTGACATCTTCACCAAATGATTGTTGGCGTATGTGTTTATGGAGTTTAGGTCCAGTCTAAATGTTCGCAGTGCTCCTAGTTCCTACTGCGGGGGTGTGAGTGTAAGTCCATGGGCCATGGACCTGCCGACCTAGGATCCCCATCGTGGCTATAATATGTACTCACTGATTGTCACTAATTAAGGTTAATCGAGTGTTCCCTAATTCATACGCTCTCAATTTTCACAATGGCATGTAACTTTTAAGAAAATATAATAGATCTTGTGTATTATTAGCGATGATTTAAGTCTCTAGGATTATGATTGGACGATTTTATTTTTGTGAGAATTCCTTAGATTATGTTTTTTTCTAACGCATCTCGTAAGAATTCACACCTCTAAATGCACATCACATTCTATGCAGAACAGAATAGGAGGTTGCTCACTCATCAACTGTCCGAAAGCAGCCCACTCTGACTGTGCCGTTCCCCGGTCTCCTC